TAAATAAATTGACTAAAATACCCCTGAAAAGTTTCGGGGGGTATTTTGGTCAATTTATGTTTTACGAATTATTTTTAAAATATTTTTATTAGGTGCGCCTTGATGAAAAGAATTGATGCCTAAAATTTCAAGTTATTTGGATTTGTAGAAAAGAAATTAAAATTCGAATACGAAATGAAGTCGTGGACGTCAGATCAACCCAGATTTAATCGGGGCCGTTAGGCTCATATGTTGATATGAGCTAGGGGGCTAACCTCAGCATTTTCCATTTTTCATATATATATATATATATATATATATATATATATAAACAAACATACACACACCAACAAAGTATATAAGTATGCATGTATGTCAAAGAGATACCCCCAACCCCCCAACACTTTAGGGTCGCCCAACCATCTGGACTCCCCCTTGGCCGCCAAGGTGGCTGCCTCCACCTCTTTGAACATTGCTGCTTATCTTCAAGCCACCAACAAGAATGACACCCTGTAGTCAAGAACTACCACTACTAACAATGATTAACATTCCTAAATTGAAGAATGTAACTGGTAATAATGGACATGAAGGAATTACCATGGAATATTTGCAATATTGATAACATAAATAAAACTGCCACTTTTCATAGGAAGCAGTCAAAGGATGACTCTATATCCATTAAACATAAAATTTCTGAAAGGTCTGAAAATAAATTGTGAACTTCATGGAATTAAACAAACAAGAGTGTCTAAAACTAGGGGAACTTGACATTCAAAATTCATGATTCAATAGAAACCAACCTGCAATTTGCATCCAACTCAGCATGCAAAAGTTTGTTAGGAAGCAGTACTGACTCTCCAACATCTTTTGAAGAGTTGTAAAATGTAAGCTCTGGACCAATGGCCTGAAACCCAGCTTCAACATGTCAAGTTGGAATAATGTTTGATATTTTTATTATAAATGGAAATCACAAGCATCACATATAACCTGCAATTCAACGATAAACTCTGTGATCGAGCTACTAGTCACCACGCTTGGAGAAGAAGGTATACATCCCGTCATTTCCTCTAAACCATCTTGCGGAAGCCTCACATTTCCCTTCCCCAAGAAGACATGATCTTCCTCCAAAGCTGAATAGCTACTATTAGCTCCCAGATAAATGCAAGAATCCAAAAATTCTCCATTCTACAGATATAAAGATGAATGTTCAGGTTTCACAGAGACAAACTTATAAATTGTAATCCAGATCACAGAAAATAGACTCATTGACAAACACAAATGTACCTTTATATGGACATTCTTGAACTGCAAACTCTTTCCGTTTCCCACATATACTATTGCTTCCTTGCTAGGACGGGCAAGGTTCACTCCCTGCCTGTCTTGTAAATTTATGCAGCCTCCTTTTCCATCATATATGAAATGATCAAATCTCTCATCATCAACAATTAAGGGCCTTCTTGGTGAAAGTGAGATTTCTTCACTGCTCTGATAATAAACTGGTTGGTCAAGAATGATTGCACCAACTATATCCAGAGCAGAATCATTCTCTTCATTGGACAATATATCACGGATTGATGGAACAAAAAACTCCACTGTGGCCAGCAGAAAATCAAGTGCAACAAGCAATAATGGCCTTTGGACACATAACGATACAATAGTGGATGAGGGCCCAAATTTGACATCAAGAATCAGCATTGTAACAACGGGTTCCATACTGTACCTGCTATTGGAAATTTCAATTCCTGATTCAACCATCTGAAGACTTTCCTTATTATCAATGGGAATATAATCACTGCTTTTGGGTTTTCCAACTGCAAGCCTGAATTCTGGTTCTGTTCCTTCACGATCATCCAAAACACTGAATCCCTTAAGTGTGGCCATAAGAACATTATCACCAGAAGAACAAGATCTGTAAAGAAGCCATGCATCGCTGACCTGCAAAACAAAAAATCTTTTAGATAAGGCAGCATGAACCAACAGAAAGAAGAAAAACAGAACCTCAACCAAGTTGATACAACAAGTCACAAAATCTCGTAAAAATTTCAGATCCATGGAGAAAATTCCATGACTCCTAATCTTATGTCATCTTGTTCTGTAAGGCAAATGACGTAAAACAAGATATATTTAAAAGTCTCAGAGGGCTTTGTGCGTTATTTATTCTTACACAGTTTTCAGAATGTCTAAAGATTATGAAAACAACAGGATTTTTTCATTGACGTTAAATTCTAAACACAAAAGGACTGAAGCTGAATGTTGCTGAACATGTTCGAAAGGAATCCTCAATTTATTCCTAGAATGCCAAAGCTGGATTCGAAATCCTCATGAAATTGTAATCCCTTGTAGATATCCAGAGAAACATTATTCAGCTAAGCAGGCAGCATTGTCATTCTCCCACAATAATGCTTTCACTAAATGAGAATTAGAAAATGCCATCAACTTTTAAAGACACATTTATCAGGCTATCACATCGAAAGCAATAATAGGATATGATAATATAAACAAAGGAAAAGAAACAAGAAACAGGACATAAAAGGATAGAAGCCAATTCCCCCCAACCAAAGGATGTATGGTTCAACAATGCAGTCACTCTCCAAAAATCCAGTCATATGTATCACATCATGACAGGACAAACACCCACAACTCAATATATATTCACCAAGAAAGAACTGGTACCTGCACAGTAGCAAGAGGTGAATCTCTTGAGGACCCAGAATGCAGGCACAACTCTACCAGACAAATGGACACTGAAACATTCATGGTAATCCATGCTCCTCTATCTGGTAATTCAGAGCTACCTGAGCCTGACGCTCTAGTAACCACATGTTCCTCTTCAACCTCAATAGAATCTTCTGGACCATGATCCAATGGAGGAGGAAGATGTGGTTCTTCCGAGATATTAGACACTGAACATTCTGTTATTATCTGGTACTCTCGGCATGACAATGCAGCTTTAAGCTCTTCCATCTAAGTACAGAAACAGGCAGATTTGTTAAAAGCCATGGTATGACTACATGCTAGCATACAGCCCAATGTGATGCAGGGAGAGAGAAGGAGAGAAAGGTTTTTATTTTTAGTGTTATATAGATAGTTTAGGGTTTTTTGTACTATCATAAACAAAAGATAAGATGAAGAGCAAATTTGTCCTAAACTCTATTGCACGCATGCGCGCCAAAATGCACTCCTAATAATAGATCATCGATAAATATAAATCGGGGTCATAGCGGCGTTTAAATTCTTTCAACAGAACACAGAACCAGCTCTATGAACAGCATTGGTATGAGAATGCTAAGGAGCATACTAGAAGATCATAGTACTGAATTTTTCTTTTGAGAATGGACTGGGGCCTTAGCGGTAGTACTACCGAGCCCGATGATGAAGTCTTGGACTCCATTTCTCACCAAAGGGTTGGGGCCTAAATCCCCACTGACTTGCCCTTTCTTTTTTCTGATTCACCAAAAAAAATGTCTAGAACAGTAAACCAGTGAATAAACTATATCAAAAAAAAGAAAAGAATCTCAGGCACCTTGATGTAAACCTCTGTACCGGGAATTCGATGCAATAAGTCACGAAGTGATCTCCGAATAACAATGGAAAATCCTCGAATCTCTTGAATTATATTTTCACCAGAACTAGAACCAGAACCCACAGCCAAGTTTATATCCTTAATCTGCATAGGAAAAACTCATTAAGGAAATAAGAACGAATACCTCACATGAAAGAAATACAAGTAAAAGAACAATTGACAAGAGATACTCAGACATGATGAGAAATCTGCCTACAAAAATTGCTATGGAAGAAAACCCTCAAAATGTGAAAACCCCAAGGTCATAGAGGTCCATCTAGTCTGAACCAGAAAACAAAAAATCCTCCGTATCTTCATGTAGTGAATTTTAGTTGACAAAGCATGAACACGTTTCCAATATATAAATTACTAGCAAATAAGACAAAATCCAACAAACATGTGAACTGATACTGCAAAGGATAAAGTTGAATGCCTCTTATCATATGAACCAATAGCGCTGATCTATACCAAATCTAAACTATGAATTCAAGGTTATGTACCTTTAACATAAAGGTTTTAGTCTACAAATTTAGGTGAATGATTTGATAAGAAAATTGTTGGACAGCATGCTACAAGGCTTTTCAACAACAAATCAAAACCTTCCACATGCGTTCATTTCTCACACATGCAGCGTTCATTTCTCACACATGCATGTTGGAATTAATATTTCTGGCAATAACAGTCGGAAATGATATTTCTATAATTAACTTGAGTATACAATTGCAAGTTGAGGGCCTTTCATAGATGAATTATAATAAAATCCCATTAATGGATGTGCAGGCATATGTATTTCCAGTTGTAGTTTCTGTAAGCTTTTTCAAGAGGATGCATGAAATAGTGATCACATCAGGAAGTGCAAACAGGCATACATGCAGTTAAGGTAAAAGCATCAACAGAAAGAGCCAAAATTTTCCTGGAATATAGAATTATTGAAGTATGAGATGGCCCACAGTTACTACCTGAAATGCAAATAAAATCACACTAACAAAGACAATGTTTCAAAAAATTATTATACTACCTGAAGTTTTATCTCTTCCATGTGGACAGCACTCATTTCATTCTTGTCGCCACAAAGCCATTGGAAAGTGTTTCGCACTGTAATATGTTCCACATCAAGTTCCAAACAGCTGCCAAGAAAGAACGACAAATGCACTAATGATTCAAACGGAAACAACTGCAAAAGACAAGAACTGAGAATAATTGATGAAATCAATAATATATCCCAAAGAACCAATAAGAAACAAGCAATCAGAAAGGAATCTAACAATAGTAATATACTGACTCTAGGCTATCTGTTCTCTTTGGCATCAAGATTATAGGCTTTCTGAGAGAAAGATCCAACTTCAAGGCTGGAGACCCTTCAATTTCAGAAGTAGTGAACCACTGCTCCGAGTTGGTTACCTGGTCCTTCAATTTTACAACATTTTGTTTGTTTCTGGGAACAAGACCCAAAAAGTAACTAAGAACCTGCACAGAATCAATTTATAAGGGTGATTTGAAAAGCATGAGTGGAAAAAGATAAGCAAGCCACATCTAGATATACACTACCATAAGTATGTGAAGTACCTCTTCAATAAAACGGTTCAAATATATGACCCGTACTTCAGAAAGTTGCCCGAAAAGACTATAGTCATATCCTTTGTAGTCATCATCATCCTCTGAGAACGAATTGAACTCAAGCTGCATATGCATGTAGAATTAGTTGTGCAAATTTTCCTACATACAAACAATAGCCACACTATATATCCAATTTTCTATGACAAATAGAAATATTCTGAGAAGAATCTCAAAACACAGAAGAAATTACAAAGAAGAAATGATCATGCTATGTGAAGATACATGAAAAAAATCAAAATGAGTGTGCCACGTAAAGAGAGAGAACTTGGCTGTGCAAAATTTATTATCTTTCTGTAAACCTCCCTTAGTTGGTATTCATATAAATAAAGTTGAAGGAAACTGGATGTAGCATATGTATGTGTAAAATGACTCAATGAGCAATATGCATGGGCTGAGCAACATGAAATACCCATAAAGGAAAGATGATGCACACACACGCTTTTTATCTTCCCCCTTGACAAAAGAATGCAAAGAATTATTGGTCAGAAAATTGTTACAATCACCCCATTTGTTTCATAATGTGGATAATCAATAAAGAATCTTGATGGGAAGAATTGTACTCCATTAACTACTACTGCACATCAAGCTATTAATTTCTACTGTATATCATATCTATACTACCAAAAAAGTAAATAAATTCAACAAGACGAAAGCAGAGAGAGAGAAAAACTCACAAGACAATAACATGTTCGCATTTCCAAGAGGAAAATTTTACCGTACCTCAACAAATGAAGTTCCACCAGGATTCCGCATATCACAGACCCAGAAATAAGGATGGCTACTGCTGAGGCTGTCATCACTTATTTTCAGATTCCCAAGTGCAGCTTTTATACTAAATGAAGATGGGAAGACCTGATCAAATATGACAGAAATAAAACACAACTAATCACAGAGAAGTACAAAACACTAAATATAAAGTAGGCTTATGATACAGAACAAACATCATGAATACCTTGATATCAGTATGAAGATTATTCTGAGATAATGTGGCAAGACGTGTTCCATTCTCATTTTTCAACAAGATCCGGGCACGAGCCAGACTCAAAATTAAAGAAAAGATGACCCTGGATTTGCCTCTTCCTAACAATCCTTTAACAATAGAATCTGACCTCTGGTATGTGGATTCTATATTTTCAGCCAGATCCATCCCGGAGGAATCATGTTCCATTGATGTGGAAAAGTCCACATGTTTATTGGAAGAATCACTTACTTTTTCCTCCATGTTTATGCAATTTACAAAGTCCAGAATCCCAAGAATCGTAGGACGATAGCAAAAAAATGTCAAAGTTGCAAGGGTGACTGTCACCTGTAACGTGAAATCATGCAATTTACGCATCAAGCATCATGGAAGAGCCACTGAATCAGAACAAAATATGATGACTCAATTAGACAAGAGGAGAATATTACCTGTTTATCTACATTAATATACAATGGAGAATCTGGATCATAGATAGCTATTTGAGCTTTCACAAAGCTATCTATATTCCCACTAGATTCCAATGATTCACTTTGATTTTGAAGCCCAGCATCTGGAAGTAGACCAGTAATACGATTAAAACTTGGAGGTTCCTTTAAGAATATGTCATCTGGAAAGGATCTTTGTGCACTCAAGTACTCAGTATTAGTCTCAGATGACTCGACCAGGTTCTCTGAAGCCTCAAAGAATTTGTCATCACCATCATTTTCATTTTGATCATAGATACCTGTCCTGCCAGCATTGCCAGCATCAGCTGACAAGGAAGAATTGGTACTGGCATTTACATTGCTCTCAATGAAGGATTTTGCCAGAAACCGTGGAGGACTGCCATCCTTCAAACCATATAAATCTTCAACTTCCAATGCTTTCAGACGAACACCAACAAACATTTCGTGTTCTCTTATGGAAAGCTCAACCTGATCAAGTTAATAGAAATTGTTTTCAAGCAATAAAAAGAGGTATTTATCTGGCTAAAGTACCCTACATATAAGAAGTTCTATGTTGCAGATATACTATATGACAAATATTTATGTTACCTGACCACCTGTGGCGCGAAATTCAAGTAAGCGGCTTTCTTTGGCAAGCAGCATCTTCTTAAAACTGTATTTTCCCTACAGAATGATAGTACATGAAAAAATAAACTTGTTCAAAAATATGGAAAGCAGAACTGCAACTCGAATACAATTGCCAAAACCAGAACAAGCGTACCTGATAGCTACTGCTAAATCTGATCCATAACTCATCAAGAATACCGGTTATGAATATTTTTTCATTCTTCACCAATTTATTGACATCAAAGTTTGCAGTATGTGTGTCTTCAGTACTGCTTGAAATTTCTGAGATGCTAGCAACGGATGGAATCTGCAGATAGAAATATGTGTCAGTGAAAAATATTTTAAATATACCAGAAATGCATAGTTGAAATGAAAATGTAACCAATGCAGAATAAGTACAACAATATAAAGCAGCTAGGATGCAATGTGCACCACTCAATTTACTCAAGAGAAAATCGTGTGTGAACCCATTCATTTTACTCAAGAACAAATCGTGCCGAGATTGAAATATGGCATATCATAAGGAAAAAATTTCATTCAGTGCATTCTATGGAATTATTTTCATACTGATTTCAGATATATATTACCTTCTGCCATAGTTATTTTGTAATATGTCCATGCAAGAAACACCTTCCTGCATAACTTTGTGCGCATGTCTATATATTATATAGAAAAGGTTCCATTCCAATTTCTAATACATATATGTTCATACGTTTTGCTCCTCTATGCAAGCATGCAGGCCAAAATACTTTGGCATGTGCATCCATGAACTTGGTAATAAATACGAGCACCTAACATTTAATTCCACTGAGGACAAACAATCACGTGTTTGAAAGATTAATTTTCAAAATTGTAAGGGTGCAGTTTGTATAGAGCCAAGGCTCTAAACAATCAAAAGTAAAGCGCACCTTCAAATAGTGTCGAGAAATGTGGTTTCAATACTGAAATTCTTTGTGATAGCCTTAAAATATATTTTCATCTCTAATTATAAAATTTAAAGCTTCAAAAATAGTATAGATCGAGCAGATCTATGAAAACTTGAAAATCATAAAAATTGACAATTAAAACTGCATTATAAGATGCACTATTTCCAAAACTTGAAATCCATTTTTTTCTCATATCCATGCATCTTGAGGTCGAGATGATCAATTTGAAGATATTTGGGCATCAAAACAACCTCTTCTAGTGAAATTTTTGAGGTGCACCCTAATTTGATTGTTTAGAGCCTCACACTTAAAAAAACATTTTCCAAATTGTAATCCAGCTTGTTTTTATCATCAATAGAAAATGAAACATGTATTCATTCACATAGACTGGTAGCTTATCCATATTGTATGTTTCTATTATAAGTGAACTGTCAGGGGCAGTTTAGAACTCTAGACATAATTTAGACATTTTTCCTTTCCTTTTTTTCTTTATTACGAATTAAGAAGGCTTACAAGGTAGTTTGGCAATTCACCTGTAAGTGATTATGTAGATGTGAACATACCTACATTAAGTCAATTGAGCACTGCTAATATACAGACTATTCTCGAAAATCTATTCTGTAGGAGTGTTTATTATAAGTTACATTATCCAGAATCTTAGTCATGGTTATTCTTCCTCCTATGTTTTGGTTTAACAAAGTAATAACACAGCAGTGCTGTTTTTCCCCATTAATGCCTCTCACAGTGCTCAGGAAATTATGTTATAGCCTTGCATGGCATTCTGGCTGTGCTCAAGAGTCCACTTGTGTGCAGCTCCTACACCCTCAATCAGGTGTGACTCTGGAAGTTAATGTGTGACAGTGTGACATGTGCATCCAGCAAATATACAACAAAATGTGTGACAAGTTTGCACAGCATAGACAAGAGCATAACTGCATATGTATCAATGTCGTACATGGCCTTTTTTTCAAACAGAAACATCTTGGTTCTTGGACATGCATGTCAATCTCATTCTAACATAATTGTTGACTCATTCGATGGTAATCTAGATGCATCTATTGCTTTACACAAATCTGTAAAACAAAAGGATGGCATAGCCTGAAGCCACTGAACAGAGAAATAAAAGACATAAATGAATAGGCTACAATAAAACATATGTAGAAATTATTTAAATTCTAAATTTACCGATGTACGATATATAGCCCCTTGAAGGCGATTTTGCCAGGTTTTTTTTGATTCATCACTATCAAACCGCATCACCAATGCATTTGCTAATTCAACAACCTAAGCATCCAGCAAAAATATTAATCTATGAAAGTTAACACTATTTCAGCTTTCTTATAAGCTAATCAAGCTTAAAACGAATTTAAAAAAGTAAAGCCAGTCAAACCTTTAGATTCGACTGCCCAGCATCACAAATTGCAAGAACATGTTCGTGGTTGCCAACAGATTCCGCAGGCACATTATATAATTGCTTCCCTCTAAGACTGCACAAAAGAAAGAGTTCAAGTCAAAAGAAGAACCCATTAATACAATCGATGAAACAAATAAGATAGAGCTCAACAAAGAACTATTAATCAATATGCACACATGCATGAGTGAATTTAAAAAAAAAAAAAAAGGAAACAAATACGCATAATAACACCGAGTAATGAATGACAGAATGCCTGCATTAGTGTATGCGCTTCTGTGTAAGTTTTTGCATGTACCCTTTCAGCATGCTTGTGCATGTTCAGAAGGCCTAGAGATAACATGCCATGTATTAGTATAACCATTAGAAAAAAAGGCCAACTAAAGTACCTAACACATTGTTTGTATGATTTGGATGAGGGGCTCGCCAATACATAGAGAAATGGTCCCACAAGACAGACATATCTGCGCTGCCACACGGCTTCCCGGTTCCCCACACCCTATCAAATTGAATAGAGAAAACTAAGAAAATTTCATGAGGTTAATGAAAACCATAAGACACTTCAACAAAGGGGTATACCTTCCATGCAAGGAGAGACAGCCATCCCTCAAAATCAGCTTGATTCCAAGGGCGAAGAGAATCTAAGTCCTCTGTGGCTCTGTCAGTCTGAAATATCTTTACAACTTGGATTAATCGATGATAACGAGCTGGTGATAAATGGAAACCAAGTGAAGGCAACCTCACAGCAACTCTTGTTGATGGATATAAAGGATTTTCTGATCGAATCTGTAAACAAATATTTAAGCAAACAAGAAAACATGGACATGATTCACATAGTATTATCTGGAAGAAAATTCTCACTAGAGGCATTGTCTAATTATGCGCTGATCAGTTTGGCAACCAAATGAATCACAGCTGGGATTTACAAGACTCATAAGAATGGCCAATTCATACTGAATCAACTCAGCTCGGGACTCAGCCGAGTCCATGCTTTGAGAGTCTAAGGCATTGATTATGAGGAAGATAGAAAAGTGGGCAACCTGTTGAAGTTTTAACATTATCCCACATTTATCAAGAACAGGCAAGTAACGGTTTTGTTTCCAATCTGAAGGACTCTCTCTCCAATTGAAGTCACCGTCCACCAAGAAAGCAGAGATATCCCTTAGTCCCAGCTTGAACTGCAAATACAGGTGTTCCTCAAGGGACCCCGCTTCCTGAACACCATCATCCTAACAAGCAAGCAATATCACATCAGAAATTCAGGATGACATGGCAAAAACCAAACAAATTTTCAAAAGAAGATTTCATCTGCAGGAACCTGAGTGCGGAGTGTGAAGCTTCCCAAATCAAGCAGAAGTTTAGTTTCACGAATATTATCTGGACAGAAGTTGGTTGGAATGGTTATCTTTGGTGCAGCTATATCCAAATCCAACAAGAACCTAACAAGATACATATCAGACCAAAAGTCACCCATCTCATTACTCTCACATAGGCATTATTAAGGGCATCTAGAAGAGATGACTATATTATATAAGGAAGGATCATATCCCTCCTTTCGTATGTGTATCCAATTTCTTGTTCCTAAATGAACCCTATCAATATATATGCGCATCCATGCCCTATCTGATTTCCAGTAATTATGACAATATATTTCCTTTTATCCAGTAAAAGCACAGGGACATGAATAATTAAGGCCTGCACACTTAAGAGAATTTTGGAAATGTATCGAACTGATGTAGCTGCCGGAGGACAATAGGATTATGAATACCAAATGACATCAACTGGTGAATCCAAAAATTCAAACAAGACTACTAAATCAATCTCTTTCTTACTTCAGAGTTCTAACTATCTCCACAAGAGCGCCAAAAAATTCAAAGAAATTTCTCTTCAGGCATATCACAAAAAAAAAGATGCTACAGTTTATATGTTAGTTGACACTGCATTCTATGTTGCCTGACCCTACGATATCCTAGTGAATGGACCAAAGAGTAATTCTTTTTTACACTAGTTGCCAAAAATGAATCATTTGACATCTCCTTCACTTTTAGATTAACTATATTATTAGTAGATTCATGCGTGTTGCATGCATGCAAGCAAAGAGAGATAAAAGAATGACAAAGTATACAAAGACCAAAAGGAACTATTAGGTGGAAATTGACATCATTTACATAAAACACACACGAAAGAACAAGAAAGTTTAAATATAATAAAGGAGAGGGGGAGGGGGAAGATTATAATTGAAAAGCAAAGCAGAAATGAGTATTCTATGTAAATTTCGTCATAAAACTTCCTGTAATATTTACATTTCCAAAATCTCTTTGAAGCAGCAAAATGAGTCATAAATGAAACCCAAACCATTAAAAAGACAAGATTTGAAAGTATACAAATTTTAAAGCTTCTTTTATATTCTAAAATTATAAATAAAATTTATGAAATTACACCTAAAAGTAGACCTATTTAACATCTCGTCTTTATCTTTTGATCTAATTTCAACTAGGACATCATTCTTTCTATAAAATTTCGAATAGGCCATCAAATGACACATCATTATGGGTTTTGAAATTCATTAAATCACAGGTGAAATAGCTAAATAGCTATATTTTTAGGTGTGATTTGATAAGTTTCTTTTTTGTAGCCAAGACAATATAATTATTTACAAATACTTTAAAATTCTATTAATTTGAAAGATTTTTCTAATAAAAATTTAAAATCTGTTATAGATATTTTTGGAAGCACAAAAAAGTGTAAGTATAATTGAGGATATACAAAAAGCAGTTGTATGAAATATTTTTAAAAGCATAAAAATGATTGAAAATACAGATTTATTAAATTAATAGGAAAAAGGAAGAAAGTACGGTTTCATGTTACCATTTTTTTTTCAGAAAAAACTACACAATTTTATGAAGCATCCTAACATTTGAAAATTGAAGACATAAATCTTCAATATTTTAACTAAATTTTGCTTTTAGCATCCTTAGAAGACTTGAAAGTTATTAAATACATTGAAGATTAAGCTTTCCTTCTCCTCATCTATTATTAGAAGTGTGTTACTCCCCCTATCTATCATTAGAATGTATAGATTAGGAAATAAGTTTTTTAGGGAAATTGATCAAAATACCGATAAGAGATGATTTGCAATTATTCCAACTCAAGATCATGCGTCTTTTGATGGGTATTCTGAAATTACATCAAAGATGTAGGTGTAATATTAAATATAGTTCATCTCTAACGGGTATTTGGATAAATTTCTCTTTTTTTCTTAATGCATATAGATTAGAAAATAATTTACATGGAGTTTATTCCCTCCTCATTCCAATGAATAGATTAGGAAATAAAATTGCATAAAAGTTCTATTTTCCCTTTGATTCAATAAATAGATTAGGACTTTAAATCCTATGTGAAGTTCACTCCCCCTCCTTATTTTTATCCGAACTTAAAAAAGAATGACACTAGGTCACTCCTTCCACTCATGTAAAATCTCTCTCATATTCAAAGAATATTAGGAATCTAGAGTGATTCCCCATCCTCTCATTAAGCTTTGCAATTTCGGAATCTTTCTATTATCTTAAACTTTCTTCCGAGTTTCCAAAATTTCTATTATCCTAAACTCTTCCGAGTTTTCAAAGTCACATATTTTTTTATAATATTCTTTCCATACTTTGAGGATAGAAACACAACCAGAAATGTTTGAAGAAATTATTTTAAATCTACTCTCTCATGTGGGTATTCCTCTTTCTCATGTCAGTATTCCCTTTATGTGGCATATTGTATGTAGACACCAACATGGTTTGCACTAAAATCCCTCTCTTTCAAAGTTAACTGCCCTACGTTCTCTCTAGCAAGGGCCCCTTTTATTTTAACAACATGTATCAATCCCTTAACTATAACTTAAAATATGTAAAATAGATACTCTTAACTTTAATTAAGTTAATATAGAATATCTATTTTTGCCTATTTGCATTCTAGCAGTAACATGCCCAATTAGCTGCCCCTACCTGGCACGGTCTTTTAATGCTCTGCTCATTTGTTGCTGAGCACTACGCTTGACTCCATCGATTGTCATCTGCATATGACCATGCAATAGAAATATTAAAGATTTTTTAGTGTCCCAAAAAACAAATACTTAAATTTAAGAACAGATATCTTTAAACCAACCTGAACAGCAGCTGCAGTTTCAACAGCAATGGTCTTTTTAAGGATCCAAAAAAACAAATACTTAAATTTAAGAACAGATATCTTTAAACCAACCTGAACAGCAGCTGCAGTTTCAACAGCAATGGTCTGACTAATAGCATTACTGCTTCCAAAAAAACTGACAATTTGGTCTACAGAATCTTTCAGATACTATAAAAAGAAGGACAACTTGATCAGTGGTATTGAACCTCAAGTCACAGAATATTTGAAGGAAAAGCACTGAAAATCATTGAAAGATTTAACTTACAGTCATGTAACACGGAGAAGCTTTCCCAACCAAACTCCAATCCACTTGAGCATCAAAAGGCATGTATGTAAAAACACCGACCAATGAGTCATCTGCTGTTGCACTCTGTATGGACATCAAATGGACATTAGCCATGGCCATGAAATCAAACAAAAATGACTATCAAGGTTCTGTGCTATAATGAAAGCTTCACCTCAGCAAGTAGGCCATTTGGGGAAGATAGCCTGTATGATCCCAATTTCACATCAACAATTTTTGCCTCTGAAAAAAGCTTTACAGAGCAATCTAAACCTTCACAAGATAGGTCAGCAAGGAAATGCAAATCCTCGGTGAGAAGCTTTGAAGCATTCTTTTCCATACGGATTTCCAACAAGGTTTGAAGTGCTCTCTTATCCTGAGCTGGAAGCAACTGAGAACCCATTCCCTCCTTGTAGCCGATAATTTTATTTATTTGTTCCCAATCATCCTCAGTGAAGCTCCGAGGTTCAGTACTATCCAAATTGGATTGCCCAGACCTGTAAATTGTTTATGATTCAATTTTAGGTTGTTCAACCGCAAAAGAAACCAGTAACCTACAATAGATAATTAAATTTAAAACATCAAGATAAGAATTTCAACCATCCCAAAGACCACCAAGATTTCTTTGTCTGTTGTTTCTTTAGATCAGCACCTGACTCCATGGACTGTTCAACAAATTTGTGAGCCAACATCCTACAAAGTACAGACGAATAGAAACGCAGTTCAAACATTTGAAAGAAATAACCAGAGCGGATTGATAACAGAACTAAGATAACAAATGGATAATACATAACTGAGCACATTGAGATTTTCATTTTAGGCAGCTGTGTGTTTGAAAGAAATAAGCAGAGTGGATTGATAACAGAACTAAGCTAACAAATGGATAATACACAACTGAGCACATTGACATTTTCATTTTAGGCAGCTGTTTACTCAGTTTTGTATTTCATGGATGGGGAGTAGCTGAAGAAACTACAACAGCCTTCACCTACTCAACACAGTTTCTTGTGAGGATTGTCATCTTGACCAATCCAGCAAGAAATGAATGGACGTTTTAATGAGAAAAAATACTTTCTTTATACAGTACCAACAAGGACCAGAAAGATTTAGGTTCTTTTTATTGCTCTGAAAAAGTTGACTTCGATATCAAGCACATGTCCTTTCTATTGCATTCAAACTTGTGACTTCTGAAGATAATAGAAGGCACAAGAGAAGATAAACCAGGGCAGCACCAACAGGAAAGGAAAAAGACCAACATATTCCAAGACCTCAAAGAGGGAACACTCATCGTTGCAAGAAACATTCTGAATATTTATGAAGACCAGAGTATATAAACGGAGATTCTAGATCCGAAGTCAACAATGGTACAGCTCGATTTTAGGGGAACATGGCTCATTCTCATTTCTCAATAACTTTAACAAACACAAGTTTAAGAGCACATGAAAGGACTGTCATTTGTGAATGCATAAATGTAAAAGACAAACAATAGTCTTGATACAAACAATAAGACCACCTGTTGGCACAGGGTATAAAAGAAAAATAAATCCTAGAAGTAGAATATGGACAGCATAATAAAAAGTAATAATGTCACAGCAGTCTTCGAAATACCCACAGGTTACCTCCATTCAAGAATGACATCTATATCAAGCTCACGATCAAGTTCGTCGATGTCTTTGTTATTCTCAACTATCAAACGATTGAGATCAGATTTCAAGAGTGATGCATAAAGTGATATATATCTCTTGCGCAAACGTGCATATTTCAGAACCTGCTCCCAATATAGCCTCCCACTACAATGAAATACGTTTTTGATCAGTCAATGCAGTGAAAATATGCATCAAAAGCAAATAGAGAACCACTAAACAAAATGGAAAACAAAAACATTACAACCATAAGACAAAGACGCTCTAGTCAATTTAGTTCTGATATTTTAATCAAAACCAGGGTTTAAAAAAACGCCGAGTCGAGCTGGACTCGCCCGGTTCGACTCGGGAATCGCCACAGAATGAGCTGGTTCCACTCAAAAAACTGGAACCGCCCGTGTCTGAAGAGAACCGGGCGGTTTTAAACGATTTTAAACAATAAACCGCCCGATGACATCATCAACCGCTAACGTCACCACTTCGATTCTACATAGACACGTGCAGACGTCACCACTCCAACACGGACACGCGGACACGTGCGACAAAATCAGGTGCCACATATCACGTGTGAGGTTGCCCCAATGTTTCCGCCCGCATGCCTTATTTCATATTACATAGGTATTTATATAGCAAAGTTGAATACCCATCCTGCGATGTGGGATAATTCCCAAACATCATTAAATGAAAACGGAATGTAAATATATTCTATTAATCAACAACTTATAATCACATGCGGCGAGGCGGCGTGATGGTTATGACCTCTGCCATTTCCTTTGATGTCCCAAGGTCGAATCCCCTTGGGCGTTACATTTTTGTTGTATAGTAGTTTTTGTTGTATATAGTGGTATAAATATTTTTGTAAATAATATAAAAGGCATAAGAAAATGAAAAATAAAAAAGTTAATTTTTGGTATAGCAGTTAATTTTTGTTGTATATAGTGGTATAATTATTTTTGTAAATAATACGAAAGGCATAAAAAAATAAAAAATAAAATCATGTAATGTATGCATTTTATTAATTTTTACATTGATAACCAAATCTTTTATTTTATTTATTAATTTTTACATTATAAATCATGTAATGTACTATTTTTCTTACAGTTGTCAATAATACATTTTAAATTAGATAATATTATAAAATATTTTTAATTTGTTATTATTTGTCTAATAAAATAATTATAAAATATAAACTAATAATTATAATTTTAATATATAATATTATAATTAGTTAGGTTGTAATAACTTTGGATTATAGTTAGTTAGGCTGTAATAATTTGGGTTTTTTTAGCGAATTAGGGTTTTTTACCAAAACGAGATTTTAATGGCCATTCTTTCATTGGTTTAGTCTACTATTTATAATAGCCCATGTATGATTATATATTTTATCCATGATAATTATATGATTTTTCTTTTATGTGATGCAAATTTAATGGTTAACATAAGTTTATACAGGGAAAGAGCATCTCAATATTCACAAATTGATGAAAAAATGAAAGTTAATAATGTAGTACCCTCATTTCTTATTGGATTCCTAAAAGATAATATTTATAATGAATTTTAATACTTTTTTTGGAATTTTTTTAAAGCTTAATCAGACCGATTCAGCCGATTCCCGATCCGGATCGCCGATTCGCCGATCTGGATGGGTTTTTGAGATGCCCGATCCGGGTCACCGATCCGCTTTTTAAACCACTGATCAAAACTATAACTAACAATCAAAAAATCCTTCACAAAAACATTCACACAGATAAATACATGATTTGGGGCCCAAGAGACCCCTACTTTGGATCGTCTAGATGAGATCCACCTGTTTGCAAAACTTGGGGTCGAACGGACCCCAGCTTTCTAAGTGGCCTACACTACAATATAAGCCAGTGTACTTGGATAATCTTTTCTATATAGACACACATGTGGAAAAGCTACCATCAAGTTGTCAGCTAAATTGTACAGCGATGACAATTATGCTCACACTATTTGAATCCTACTCTCTTTCTTTTTTTTATGGAAGAGATTGGGATGAAATTTTGAAGGTGTGCGTAGGATGGTAAACAGGTACAGTTAGTGGGTCAACCCAACCCAGCTCTAGATCTGGGTCCAAGAGACCCTACTTTGTATTGCCTAGATGAGATCGACCTGTGTGCAAAACTTGGGGTCAAATGGACCCCTACTTTCTAAGTGGCCTACACTACAGTACAAGTCAGTGGACATATATAATCTTTTCCACACACACACACACACACACATGGAAAAGCTGCCATTAAGTTGTCAGCTAAAATGAATAGTGATTCCGGTTATGCTCTCACTATTTGAATTTTACTCTTTCTTTTTATGCAAAAGATATTGTGATGAAATTTTGAAGGTGTGCGTAGCATGGTAAACAGGTCCGGTCGACCCGACCCAGGTGTGGATCTGGATCCATTTGACTTGTACTGGCCCAAGTCAGGTCCGGTCAGATCCATCTTGGACCAAATCAAGTCGAATTAGGTCCAGGTCAGGCTTAACCTAACCTAAACCAACATAATATATTCATATAATAATTATACATCTATAAAAATCTGTTATATATAGTACAAAAAAAAATTTATTTTTTTACCTTTTATATTTCAACCTAGACCAGGGCCAACCCTATAGGTTAGGTCCATTCAGTCCATGTTAAGGTCTAACTTAAATCCAGTTGGAGGGCAACCTACCTAGGACCTGATCCATCTACAGCCCAATGAGTGCACCTTAGTTGGCACGCCTAAAAATGTAGTTCTAAAAAAATTACCAAAATGGTCCCACAATGTTGCATGCTTATTTTGGTCATTTTATTTTTTAAATTATTTTTTAATTCTTTTTGAGTGCTTGATGGTGATAAGTACATATGCCCAAAATCTCAAAGCAAAGTGAGAGAAAGTAGCCAAGGATGACATAGTTAGAAGATCATAATCATCATAACCTTTTCTCAATTAATTGGGGTCGGCTACACAAATCCTAGTCCGTCATTCTGCTCTATTTAAAGCCATACCCTCAGTGAGGTGCTACAGTTAGAAGATACTTGATAAAAAATATTTCTTTTGTTCTATGTAACACTATCTGTCTCTCATTCTGGTACACAGGCAATTACCATTATGGGTGGCATTTTGCAGAGACACCATGCAAGGACCCACAAAATTTCAAGTGATTACCACTACTAATTCACTGATACAATAGAGATATTGAATGTAAAAACTCTTTTGTTGTTTGGAAATGTCCCTTAGAGAATTATTTGCTCCCAAGTCAGATGACAAGCTGTTTGTTTCCTCACAGACTGCTTGGATGGGTGCCCACAAATTCAAGATGGCCTTGATTTTCTCTATTATAACACTGCATGGAGCTCCTAGTGCATTGTAGTAGTCAACCAGGCAGCAGTCGAACTCTTTGATGTCTTCCTTGAGATCCTGGCAGCGGAAGACTAACAACCACTTTGTCTTCAATCCTTTTTCCAGGGGGAATGGGGCCAGATTGAATCCAAGATTGAGTTTCTGGCCTGCAACAATCCACAAGGAGGATTTCCAAGAATATCTTAGAGTTTTCTCCAGTTGGGTCTGTTCTTGCAGGGCATGTCTAGCCCGAAGTTCAGCCATGGCTGAGTTGGTTGCTTGTGATTTACTGAGGGATTTGGTGACAGCGGAAATGGGAGGCCATGATGGTGATCCACCATGAATGGCTGAGGCGGGTATTTTGGTGGTGAAAGGCTGTGATGCTGGTGATGGAACGTGTGATGGTAATGGTGTTAAATGCACTGCTGTTGGTGGTGTTTTGTGACAACGGTGGAGGTGGCGAGGATAGGTAAGTCGTCCAAACCTAATCAGCATCTCTCTTATTTTAGCTCTGAATTCATCACAATTACAGTGCAGAATCCACAAAGAACACAGGAAACCCATCTCGCAAAAAGAGCAGGAAACCCGCAAAAATGGTCACTTTAGCCGATAGACTAACCCAAATCCCATCTCAAAACAGGGGTTTAGCTTCCCTAAATCTGTATCGCAGGGAAAAATTCAAGACGATACATACAGGTGAAGACATTGAAGAGATGGAAACTGGGAGAAGAGCGGAGTTTGTGGGAGAAATTGGGGTCTTTTGTGGGGTTTTAAAGGTAGATGGGGTTATTTGATGCAGAAAGAAATGAAGATCAGCAGTTAGTGCAAAAGAGATGAACTTTAAAGAGAGTGAAAAGTATCGAATGGAGAAGAAGGAACTTTAAGGGGGGTTAGGGCCATGACCGATTTTCAATATACAAAGTTTGATGCCAGGTACCGAACTAACCAAATAATATTATACAGAATATGGGTACCTAACAAAAAACTACTGAACTAGTATCATGCAGAATATGATAATTTTATACAAAATAATCGACTCTTGATAAAACTGTCATAAAACAGGCCTTTATGGTTTTAAGATTTATTCGTTATGCTGCAACAACACAGAAGAGTGAAGAATTTTGCCTCATTGAAAAGCATGGGCCACATGGAAACGCATGTGCTCACCTCCTATAAATCCTTAGTAAAATGTTCAAAATTTGTACCTAAAAGAAACTAAAAGATCCTCCATAGGATGTTCAAAATGATGTATCTAAAACTAGAATGGCATGAGGTTTATATTTTAATTTTAATAGGAATAAATCACTTGCTGAAGCACATGTTAATTTTGCCGCATTGAAAAGCATGGGCCACATGGAAAAGCATGTGCTCACCTCCTATAAATCCTTAGTAAAATGTTCAAAATTTGTACCTAAAAGAAACTAAAAGATCCTCCATAGGATGTTCAAAATGGTTTATCTAAAACTAGAATGGCATGAGGTTTATATTTTAATTTTAATAGGAATAAATCACTTGCTGAAGCACATGTTGTTAATTGCACTATTGAGTCAGTTTATTTTAAAGCCAAATGAACATCCTATATTCATCAATCATGAAAATATTTCCTTATTCTTTTCTTTGAAAATTACTAGTCCTGTAGATATAAGACTTAAAATGTGAGAAAAGGTAGAGACATAAAAGGAAAAAGGATACACAACCTGGCCTTTTTTATCTGATCAGAAATGACTTTATAAGCATATTTCCACCATAACCTGGGATTTGATCTCACTCCAACATTTGGTCGATAATGAGAATATGTCAGACGTTGATTAAATGTAGCAAAGTTTTCAGCAAGCTTCAATATGTCCCTGTATTCATCCTGGGTAGAGTAAAGTGTGTTACTTTCAGGAAGTCCAATAGGAAAGTAAAGCCTCCCAGTCTAAGACAGGAGAATAGCCAAAAGAGAGAGGAACCTTGGATAAGCATAATGTGACATCATCCAACTTCACTGTTGCTCTCTGTAAGGGTTGATCAAGACTCCGGGATTCATCAAGCCTCAGCTTGGTATACTTCGCATTGCCCGACACAGGTTGTAAGATATAACTGTGACCTTTTGCAAGCACATTAGTCGAAGGGCTGCTTGCACATTCAAAGATCTGAATTCCAAAGTCAAATATCATTATACATTCAACTAATAATATGGTGGAGATAAGAACTTGAAGCATTTAGTTAAGGTTTATGACATACTTCACTCCAATCATTAGGAAGCAAATTCTCCCAAGGTTTGTCAACCTTCCACGGATGAATATCACAATCAAGATACACGGCTAGGCGATCAAGCTCCACAGACTGCAACAAAGTTTACAGAAAACCCAGAAAGATGTTAGAAAAGCATATAGTACCTGACAGAAGCCTAGAAATCAGACAATATGATCCCTGTGTTGAACCATATAGCAGAGCTGGTAATTGTTGACAGAGCTAGAAAAGCCACAAAAGGCTACCTATCTCAGATAGTTTATAAGACAAAACAGATCAGGGAATTTCAGGAGCATGCGGGTTTAAGTAATATAGTCTATCCTACCAAAAGTACATGCTCCAATTGAAACATACATTATTCAATTGAGTGATTATATACTATGTTAATGGTATTTCATGTTGTCAGAGTACCTTTTGAATATGATCAAGTGCACCACCAGTAACAAAAGTTTCTTTCCCGCTATCATCCACAGTGACAGCTGAAAGCTTCGCCAAAGTTGCACCCGCTGCAAATGGATGACCCGGATTGCTACCAAATAACAGTGACAAGATCACTACATAAACCAAACGAAAGAAGTTGGGCGCATCATGAGGTACAGAAGCAAAGTTGATATATACAAAGTTTCATACCTTTCCAGATCCTCATATCTAATGTGAATATTGGTAATGGAAAGCTTCAAGTTTCCAATTATGGTGTTGATCAAAGAACCAAGCCATGAGGTATTCTGTAAAGAAATAATTAAAATTGGTGCACATGCACAAAAAAAATTAGAATCAATACAAAGATTGGATAAAAAGGTGAAAATTTGCAGAATGAATCTTCATAGTCCAAGTCCATCTCAGAGAAAAGAGGAATAGATATGGGTAATAACTACTTTTCTCAGGAAGAATTCCAGCATCTCTTTGAAATGAATGTCAACAGCGTAAATGTCATAACTACTTACTGTTTTAATATATAAGTTCTAAAACTAATTTTCTTGAAAGTTAATGTCAAATTGACAAAGGAGAAAAACAGAAAATGCATTTTAACCTAGAAGGCTATTTAATCCAGCAGCCTCAAATAAAGTTGCGATGAGTACATAATAATGCCACGAGCATTTGGAAACATACAATTCAACATCAGTTACAATCATCACAACTGACATCAACTGTTTTGTAAAACCTTTTTTCTTGAAGGTATGCGTTCTGCTTGTTTTATCTTCACAGTACAATGATCCATTTAAAATCCAGTTGCACTATAAGCTCCTAAAACAGCGGGAGTGTTGATTTGGGACCAGAGAAGACGGAACGTCTAGATTCCCATTCAAATATAGAACATACAGGTATTTAGATTTTATTTTTATTTTTTTCCCTTGTTACAGTCAACATGCTCTTAGAATATTAAAATGTTAAGGTAGAATGTCTTGGTGGATATGCCTCTGCATTACAACTCAATTTCCCTCAATATGTATGAAAAGGAATCAAAATATGGCATCCTTTGAGCTGACTGGCTTTGTTTAGAATTACAAAGACCAAAACAGGCTCCAATATATTTGTAGTTTTATTACAGCTAAGTCATAATGAAGAATTTTTGGGACACAAATGACAAAAGAAGCGAATGGAAGATTATCTACGAGATAGAAATATTTGGATCTGATCATTTGAAAGCACCCATGAAAAGCAATTCAGATAATGTACCCTCTAAACAGATCCAATGACAGTACACCATCAACCATATAGAATAGAAACCAGGATAAGGATAGGAACATCAACTGAACATCAAAAAGAAGGTACCAAGGTGCGGTTAGAGTTAGAATAACAAAACACAAACCAGTGTTTTAAACCTGGACTTAGGTCAGGACTCGCTAAGGTCCCGAGTCCAAGTCAGGTTAACCAGACCAAGTCTGAGTTGGACTGAGTCATAGAAAACTAACAAAGAAACCTTGAGAACCAGTAGCACTTGGCAGATTCCCAAGGTATTTTACTTGGATCCAGCACTCTGCCAGGCAGTATTCTGAGAATTGGCCGAGGCCACTCATCCTAGACCTATGGGCGAGTAGGCTGTACAGCATGTTTGCAAAGTTTATTTATTTTAATATGTCAATTTAAGTCACATGTGCTTGAATGGATCCACGATTCGTTCTAACACATATATTTTAGCATGGTTGGCTTTCAAATCTCACTAGAGAACATCACTTTTTAAATACCATCATTTTCTTTTATATGATGGGAGTTCCAAAAAAAAATGTAGCCCCCCAAGAATCAAACTCAAGACCTCTTGCAAAGAGGCATATTATGTGGGGTGGCCTAACCAACATGCCATTCGCCGTTTGTTTAAAAAAGCCGGTCACTATATTATATATATATATATATATATATCATCTTTTTGTCTTCATTTTCTTAAAAAAAAAATTATTGAGCTGGACTTGAGCGAGTTACTTAGACTCGGGCAAGTTACTTGGACTCACTTGAGTAACCCACCTCGGCCAAGGCCCGAGTACCTTGGCCGAGTCGATTTTCTGAACACTGCTGCCAAGTGTGAGTGAGTCTCCCGAGTCCGAGTCAGAAAATGCGACTTTTTAAACGCTGCACAACAAGTCATGCAGATAAATGATGTGTCATTCATTGATGATGGAAAATGGGAGGATAGACATGTATCAGATTCAGATAGGACATGACAGTTAAAATAAAATCCAAGCCACATAATCATCTTTGTTAAGAGACTCACCAAAAGAAAACACCATCTGTCAGTCATGTTTTTTTCAATACAAAAGGATTTTCAATCTACAAGAAAAAATAATAAATAATCCTCTTAGCTGCATGCATGAAGATGTCCAAAACTAACATACCACTTCTGTTTTCTGCGGTTGCATGGCCTCCAAAAGCTTCAGTTCCAGTTCCTTGTGTTAGACAAACAACATTTTCAATTATTTAGTTACAATTCTTTAATCAAAGCACCATATGGCAGTTCGATTACATAGCACCAGTTCCCTTACTCGCACTCGGTTTTTCTTAACATCTTGGACAGCATCCTCTGTACGTCCCTCAACTTGAGTTGCAGGTTCAACAATTAAGAAAATGCGGTCCAAATAAACTAAAACGGGCTCTTGACCAAGCCTGCTCCATGGGACCTGAAACCCAAAATAGTAGAAGAGCAAAACCCAGAACATGAAATCATAAAATAATTTATCTTAAGGTCATTTGCTTAGGACAAAACAAATCCTGGAGAACCAAATGCTACACGCATAAGAAATTTTCATCAATAGTAATATCAAGGAACACAAACCTTGATCTTGACAGACCCAAGAAATCCAGCCTTGACTTTTACAGGCAGCTTCAAGGCATTCAGAGCTTCCGGCTTCAACTGCATATTTGTCAACTCAACATCACCTGTAGGAAGTATGTGTATCAAATTCAGCAGGCGCAGAAATCCAGGTCCATGCAAGTATTTGTAAATGAAGACATAGTAATTACTTTAAGCATCATGTTTTACCTAAGGCTTTTTTCATCAACAACAAATCAGTAGGCAATGCGATCTCAGTTTCAACACATGAAAGTTGCTTTAAAAAAATAAAAAAGTCAGACATCCACTTGAAAGTCAAAATGCCTTGGGTAGAATAAATGTCTCAATTGATGCCCCATGTCGAACCAGCCCCTTCACCCATCAATTACACAACAATTTTGAAACTTCAAAGACACACATTGATCAGAGTGCATTGAAGCAAAATCTGGTTACTGTAGGCATGTAACTGTCAATCCATAATGAGTCCATTTAGATTGGTGAGGTATCATATCCTCAGATTCCAAAATCGGGCATTTGAGGCCTAACATCTCAAGAAACTACAAGAATCGTCATATCTTGGAGTTAACAAATAAGGAGATATGCACAGTGAATGTCAATATTTACCAATAATCATATTACATATTGAAGGAAAAATTTGTGTTTAACAAGAAAAAGAAGGAAATTTGGGGTGAGACTAGAAAGAAAAAACTAGAATCAAGCACCATCTTGCTCGGTAAACTGTGTATACAATTCTGTTGTCTTCATTGGAGTTGCACAGTTTCATAAGGAACACCTGATTTGAGAGGGATCCCAAGGCACAACATTTTTCAGTCATGGACAAGGGCGAACTTAGTTTCTTCCCTGTACACATTACAGTAAGACCGGAGGGAAAATTGATTATTCAATGTTATCCAACCCAAAAAATGCAACCACCACAACTACTTCAGATGATTCCATTCCTCATACAACGGCTGTGACATAAATTGAAGGAATACTTCTTATTCTAACTAAACACGTGCAATAGCTTCTTTGGCCCTCTTCAAGAGAATTTTTGACAACCATTCTAGTACATTCAAGCCTCATGTACTCAGCTGTTACTATTTAATGCTTCTCTCTCTCCTCAATGGGTGATTGACTCAGAGTCCTTGAATCACATGACATGATTAATCATTGTTTCCTTCCTCTCTTAAGTATCAAGAAAAGCGTCTTGTTCATCTGAATGAAATTTCATCCCTGATGCAACTAAAATTGGAAGAAGAGAAGCCATAAATAGGCCAACAAATTATCTTGTATTTTTTAATGCTCTTTTTATGATCGCCAATAAAATTTGTTTCTTGCTTCCGAAATATTTCTCAACTGCCATTGCTTAATTTGCTCGGTGTTGCATTTGTTCTCCATCAAATTCTGATTTATTAATCTTTTGAGGTTGGAAATGACATCTGAGCACAATAGATTGTTTGAAGAGCTATTCCAGATAGGAAGTAGATCTCCTGGCAATCCTATTTTAGCTCCCCACTTTTTTTTTCTTCAAATAATGCACATTGAGTTATCATTGTCGATTGGGTAAACACAAAGATAAAGTCAATAGATGATAGTTAATACATTCAAGTGAACTTGGTTGATAAGAACTAAAGAACTTATTCTTGTCTTCACAGTCATCAAATTCTTTTCTCCTAAGTCAAATAATGAAGTTTGGATTAGTATTGTCAACTGGATAAAGCCTCTGACAAAAATAAAGTCAATAATAATAGTCACTACATTCTGGAATCCTCAGTTGATAAGAACTCCACAAGTTCAAGCCTAAGTTGTCATCACTACAAGAATCATGTCATGTATTACACTTTAGATGTGAATAGAGGGAGGCAACTAAATTTTTTAGTTTAATTCACTCTGGTGTCTTAGTTTGATTCACTGGTGTGTTTGGAGAAGCTCCTTTTTCTTCATTATCTAGATATGCTCATTTTTTCACCTCTCAGCTTTGACTTGGGCTATTATCCATATTCGATTACATAATAGTTCATGAAAACCAACCTGGTTGATACGAGGGAGAGACCAAGTGACCCCAAGCCATACACATTATTGCACTTGAAGAGCCAGATAGCAAGTTCTATTTACAAAATCCATGGAACACTTCATAGCGAGAAACTAGCATAAACCAAGTATAACCTGCAATTTTATCACGATTCCGCTTGCTCACCCATCCTAACTGGTTAATCAGTGAGATGATTCATAACTTACACTTTTACAGCTAAAGGGATTATGCAATTTCCTGTTCTCTTACAAGGGTTGACAACTACCTTTAACAATCACAAGTAGTATAAAACAAAAAAAAAAAAAAAAGCTATATAGTTCGTACTTCATAGAGAAGCTGGTATACAAAGATTCTCGCAATTAAAACACTAGAAAATTCGATATCATATGAAATTAAACAGAATACGAAACAATTCTGGTAAAGCACCAAAAATCCTATAATCCAAAGGAAAATCCACATTTCATGAGATTCTATAAATGAGCAATTGAAGCTCAGGAATTTGTTAAACTTGACAAGAAACTGAAGTACAACAGATTAACCAGGAGGTGAGAAATTAGTACCCATCCAAACGCTGATTTTAAGATCTTCCTTTGAAAGGCCCCTGACATAATTGCCAAGGTACTTTTGCAATAGGAAAGCAACCTGATCCTTCAACATATCCCTGTCCTTAACCAACCTCAACGAACAAATTGCATTGAAAAGACGAACAGATACAAATTGTCTCTATTCGGAAAGCCAATGCAATTTACTAAAAAAATATATAAAGAGAGAGAGGGAATCCCAATGGGGACGCAGTGAGAGAGAGAGAGTATCTGGAAAAACAAATTCAATCCATGTTACAGTGCGAGAGAGAGAGTTGTATGCTTCTAGGTCATGGCGGTGCATGTATTTGTCTGGAACAACCTTGTGCTGCAAGAGAGAGAACACGTCATGGGGCTTTTTCCGTGGCCCAGCCACGTAAGAAAATGAGCGAGAGCTTGTGTGCGTTTCAGTGTTTCAAACTTTGAATAGAAGGTGAGGAGAGAGAGAACCCGGTGAAACCATACACCAACGGCGTAAGTGGCACGACCGGAAGATGTAAGACGTTCGATATGTCAAGAGAAGGTCAATATGAGCAGTTGCATAGCTTTTTATGGGGGAAATGATGCGGAGACCGGTTAAAGGGGCCGCGAGTCCTGGCTCGGTCATCCCGGGCCCTACTTTTTTAAGAATTAGGCTAGGCTAGTGCCAGCTCGGTTCGCCTCTCGTTTTAATTTTTTTTTTTTAAAAAAAAATTATTTGTTTTCCCGACATAATCCAGCCCTAAAAGGGCCAGGCGGGCATAAGCCGGCCCTATGGGATCACGGCTGGGCTGGGCTGGGCTGGGCTGGGCAGGGCCAGGGCTAATCCAGTCCTAGGTTGCGACCGTTGGGTGGATACTTTTCCTCCAATCCTTCCCAAGCCCCTGAATATAAAGGGGGGTTGTGATTTTGGGTTTTAATTAATATACAATAAATTAAGAAAAATAAATTTTAGATCACTTAAAACTTAAATCTCCTATTCCAACACGTACGCGGTCCAGAAATTACTTGGACGCTTGAGATCAAGAGTAGAGTTCAAAGTTTAACTTTGTGCTGAAATTTACGTTTTGATCATTCAAAGATCGTTCCCCACTTCCTAGCCTTTCAAACTTATTTTAATCTATGTTTTTTTAGGGGGTTTAGCATCATTTTGGGCTAAGACGACCTCACACGCAGAACTCTTTTCCATTTTCTAGTATTTCATAAAAAGAAAAAATTTATATCAAGTTGCAACTTTAAAATGTAGAATTAAAGAGCACCTCAAAAGTCCATCGGAAAAGATTGTTTTCATATTGAAAAACCTTCTAATTGATCATTTCGATGTCAAGATGTATGAATATGGAAAAAAAATATATTGAGTCCCAAAAATAGTGCATCTTACAACAGATTATCTAGACTATCCAATTTTCAATATTTTTATATGTACATAAATCTACTCAATTTTAACTATTTTTGTAGTTTAAATTTTTATAATTAGAGATGAAAATAGATTTTCAGATAATCTTAAGAATTTTTTACACCAAAATTACATGTTATGTTAAAATTTGAAAGTGCCCTTTAATTGGATTGTTTAAAGTCGAACCATTTAGTCAAACCAAAACCGGTAGGTAGCTGGTCCAATTTTATTCCAATTCAGGACTCTGCCAAATAGAAAAAATGTTATTTATCTTAAACAATTTAAACTTTATATATTTTATTTATATTATCTTGCGTTTTTTTTCTTTCTATTTTGGCCAAGTAGACCTAGCGGACCGACGATTCTACTAGGAACGCGTGGGTGACTGCTTCAGCCTATTCATTTGAGTTTTAAAAGATGATTTTCACTTGATGTTACTTTTTAAGGATGTTCCTTTCTTAAATTTCAACTTATACTGAAGTAACATACTAAAAAAGAATAGATTTTCTTAGATATTAGCTCAACCCGTAATTGATACTTCTTTGTTTTTTATAAGGAAAAAGTTTATATAAGGTTGCAACTTTACCTCTGCAGCTACGGATGCATTTCAAAAACCCATCGGAAATGATAGTTTTAATATTGAAAAGCCTTTTGATTGATCATCTCGATATCGAGATGTATGACCATGAAATATAAAAAGATTTTAAATCTCATAAATAGAACATTTTACAACATATTATCTGTACTGTCCATTTTCAAGATTTTCATATGTTTATAGATCTACTTGATTTTAACCATTTTTTAAGTTTAAAATTTTATAATTAGATATAAAAATAGATTTTGAGATAAATCTATAAACATTTTACATCAAACTTATATACCATGATAAAATTTGAAGGTGCACCTTACCTCTACAGCTACGGATGCATCCGTATGCCAACTGCACCTTTTTTGATAAAGAAGTGATTCTTTTTTAAAAAAAAAATTAAAATTTTAAGATTTTGGTTCACACCCAAAAAGAGGATAATTTGAGGGGACAAAGAGGAGCCAATGGGTAGGGGTGGTAACGGGTTGGGTCTGGGTTTCGGGACCCGATTCGCTGGGTCCAATTTTTTAACCCATGCGCGGAACCGAATTGGGTCTACCAATCGGTCTCGAGTCGGGTCCGATCCGATACCACCCCGGGAGTGGGAATGATGGCTGTGTATTTGGCTAAAACATCTTAAAATTTATGATGGAGATTAAGGAAATCCAGTCTTTTTTGGCCTACCTTTGACCAAGATATCTTACAATGTGTCGTGGACAGGCTGGTTCATTAAATTCGGACTGAATAAGCTATATTTGTGCTCAAGTAAGAAAAATGAAATTGATTTCTTATCGAGTCTTGTGAAGTGTATTATTTACCCTAAGTGGCTTTGCTGTTTTTATGGTGATCATAAACGTCTCGTTGGGGGTTAAAAAATTGGAAGGTTATACTCAATAGGTTTGCAAATTTAGCGAGGAGAGACTCAAAATGTTTGAAGATAATTTAAGGTACCGCTTTTGATAGAGTAGAATGATATGTTAGGATTAGTGTAGCCGAGTCCAAATAGTTAGAAAAAAACTATTAGAATGATAATGACGACGAAGTGTTTGAAGATAACTACAACAATAAGAGAAAAATGATATAATAGTATGATGTATTAGGATTCATGTAGCCGAGTCCAAATAGTTAAAAAAAAAAACTCCTACGATTATGACGACAAAATGTTCAAAGATAACTACAACAAGAGAAATGTAGTGATTATGAATGTATCAAGTCACTCTTTCACCTCCCTTAATTTTTCTTTTGAAAAAGGTGATGCACTCTTTTCTTTCTTTTTCTTTTTCTTTTTTTTTTTTTTTTATATGTCCCTATTGCGAGAAAGTTGTAGCGCAATTACACATTGGGTAAGGAATTTAAGACGTTGCGCATCCTATCCCATGTCACTCGAGACAGAAGGGAAGTATATTCGTTAAACAGAACTTATGTTGTGCTCTCGCGGGAGCAACTATTTATTTGCTCCCTCAAGTAAAAATGTACTTTAAAAAGAATTGGGTCTTAAAATTTGGGATCCATTTAAATATCATCAAATGATGTTTTTCCATAAATGTGCCTTTTAGCACTTAGATCATGTTGTCCAAAAATTGGATGGTTTTTATTCAGTTTTAGGACATTATATTTTTAAGGCTTGTAGAGCGACGTATTTGATTCTTTTTCTTTTATCCTTTTTAGAGTTGGCCTCCAGGTAGTAGAGGATAAGTCCTCAAAATTTGGCATCCTACAAATACCCCTTACTTGGTTTTTGCTTGAGCGAGTAAATAGACAGTTTGCGTCCACGAGAGCACAAAGTCTTTGGCGTCATTAAAAACATTACTTTGCCGAAGAGCCATCCCATACAAGTAAAGCATATATATCGAGCACTTAGGAAAAAGCAAAAGAGCGATCTTATTTATCCCAGATTTTGCAATCTACCTAAGAATTACCAAATCACTCATCTGGTCAAGATTCGAAAATCGTCTTAATCGTTCCAGATCCCATAATACAGGATCTGACGGCATCTCCTGCAGAACTTATCAATTTAGCTCGGTCCGTCCCAATTCTCTGACAAAACTGACCAATTTCATCTGATAACAAGCAAGAACCGATTCCCACTTTTAAACTATTTTATTATTTTAATTAATTAACCAGCCGGTTTTTAATTTGAGCCAACTTTGCTTAGATTATTTTTTACAAAAATATTTTAATTTCAAAAGAGGCGGCAAGCAACACATCCCACCTTTATCTTCATATGTTTGATGTGGATTAAAACGCCCCCTTGGGTTTTAGCATGCAAACCCCTGTAATTAATGACCTGCTCAAAATATAAATTACCCTTGTGTACATAAATGGCTCATGAAATAATTGGCCTTTACAACTTAGAATAATTAATGACCTACTCAAAATATAAATTACCCTTGTGTATATAAATGGCTCAAGAAATAATTGGCCTTTATAGCATAGAAAAATAACATTTTATATATATTTTTTTAAGGGAAAATCTACACTTTATTACCCTTCAACTTACAAAAGTTAATACTAAAGTGAGTTGTGAAGGGCGGATTTGCTAACTATATAATTTTTGTTAAAAATTTTTTTACTTTTTTTTATGATATCTTGCTCATCAAGTAATGGTTTTTGTGTAAATATCACTAAAAGACAATGGTTATTTTTGTCATTTTTGTAAGGTATAAACTTAGAAATTTTTACTAAAAGACAAAGTTATTCTACTAATAAAGTTTCAAGACAATAACTTTCAAAATATAATTGTACTTTTATAAAAATTTCAAATTTTTCATTACTTAATGATTAAATACGTAGTAAAGTATTTTTTATGAACAAAAAATAATGATTTTTTATTAAATACCCTCATCACAACTTATTCTAATATTAACTTTTGTATTTCGAGGGGTTGTTAACTCTTGACAAACCATCTTTTTAACGGCTAAAAATTAATTGTTCAATTGTTGAAAATAACATCAAGGTTTTAAAAACAACCATGCATGTATTAAAAATAGCATTAAAAATATTTTTTCAAGATCGAAAATTATAACATCAAGGTTTTAAAAATAGGAAAAAAAGTATATAATGATGCAACCTTAAATTATAGAAAAAAGGCACGGCTCAATAATCTATCAAAAAAGGTTGTTTTAATATCGACCTCAATATGCATGGATGTGAAAATACAAAAGATTTTAAAGTATAAAAATAGTATATCTTGTAATAAATTATTTAGACCGTCCATTCTCTAGATTTTCATGAATTTGTAAATCTACTTGATTTATACCTTTTTTAAGTTCTAAATTTCATAATTAGATGTGAAGTAATTTTTCAAGTCATCATTGAAATTTTTCAATACCAAAACTACATCTTTCGATGAGGTTTGGAGGTGTGCCTTAATTGGATTGTTTAAGGTTGACACCTTATACAAATCACATGCTTCAAAATAACTTCAATGCATGTTTTGAGAAGGAATTTTTATTTTTTTTATTTTTTGATGAATTGTTTTGAGAAAAAATAGAAA